TAAATAAGAATTTGTTCTTAACTGACTTGCCTAGTTAAATAAAGATAAAATAAAAAAATGGTGTGTCATGCTGTAATCAGAGAGAAAACAGGTGAAGAGAGCTGAGTGATGAAACAGGAAGGAAAGTTCAAGGGTTAGAATCTGAATAATCAATTAATTTCAATTCAATATGTTACTACTGGAAAATGTAGTTGACAGTAGTTATACTGTACATAGTGTAACTACTCCCCAACAAGCCTTTATATCCCCTTGGCAACATAGATATCAACCAGATTGCAAGCAGCAAATGCATTATTAGTCTTGTCCTACATGCCGATGTGAAATTCCTACATTAACATATCTCATATATGATATTAACGTATCTCATATATTGTATTAACATATCTCATATATTGTGTGAGTGCATGCGTGCATACATGTGTACGTGTTTTCCTGCCTTATCAGGACCCCAATGTTCAAACAATTCACCCGAATGTCCTGACAAGGTAGGAAAATAATAACTTTTTACACACACACACACAACATGGTGACGTAGCAGGAAGAACGGAATGCCATGAACCAAAAGGTTGTGAGTTCAAATCCCAGGTGAGGACATGTTGAATAATAATTACTGTATAAATAAACATGCACAACGTAATCATGTACGTCAAGCTGTGTCAGATATATAAGTTGAAAACATTGTATGTGAAAAGCCCTTTGTGTGTGTAATCAGTTGCACAGACTTTTTTGTTCGATGCCCAAATAATAGTTGAATGAACATATTAGACAAGTTGAGCAAACACAATTTTATGTTGACTGAGTTTTTGCCTAAGTTTCCTCAAGTTGGAGTTAAGTTTGGGCCAACTAAACATTTTAAGTTCAGGTAACACTAACTAAAAAGTTGAGTAAACTATGAAATCAGTTACTTAATAATAAGTAGTTGAAACTACTACATTTTTTGCTACTACAAAAAATGCTTTTCAACTGTCACGCCTGGACGTATAGAACTATTTTTAGTTGAGTCAGGGTGTGGAAGTTCTATGTTATTATTTCTATGTTTACGATCTAGGATGTATATTTCTATGCTTGGCCAGGTATGGTTCCCAATCAGAGGCAGCAGTCGCTCGTTGTCTCTGATTGGGGATCATACTTAGGTAGCCCAGTTGCCTACTATGTTTGTGGGATCTTGTTCCTGTGTTAGGCTTGTATTGTTTATAGCCTTGGACTTCACGTCACCTCACCTCACTTCACGTTACGTTGTTTTGTCGTGAGTTTATTTGAGTTAACTAAACATGTTCACATCGCACGCTGCACCTTGGTCTGACCCGTCTCTCAACGATCGTGACAATAACATAGAATCTCAGTGCTTGAAAAGCAAATAAACAGCCTAATGATAAAACGTTACCCTCTCCTGTACAGCTGTCTGAGAGGTTGTAATGGTAGTCTTTTTATTCTGATCTAAGATCATATTTTGCAAAGTCAGGTTTATCTTTTGAATCTCAAGTTCGCCAGCCATTGGTCACTTGAAATTAGAGAACTCACATGCTGTTACAGTGTCCAGACGTTTTGTTTTATAAGAATATTTTATTCTAAAATGTATTTCTGGAGCAATGCCTTTACTGTTAATGCTTTCATTCCGCACTTTATCTATATTAATAGTTCAGAGACTGTATTGAAAAATAATCAATGTTTACTCTCACAAAATTGACACCAGCATAATAAACAGTGTTTTTCTTGATAATTGATCTTGATTAACTTCCTTCGTAAAGATAACTCCCGGACACACATTACCTCTCCACGTGGCGTTTGCAATTATTATTGGTGACAATCTACACGTGCAGAGATAATCATACTATCTTTTACAACCAATATTATCTTTTATAACCAATTTGGACATTGGGGCTGTAATTCCCTGCACCGCATATGAGAGATAGCATGGTGGTGTCTAACATTAATTCTCATTCCTTGATTCACACCATGTCATCAATAAAGCCTCTAAGAGGATATTATCAAAGTGTAAAAACTTGGGCACTGTCATGTTGCTCACAATGCACATTGGTTTAGCTATTTTTCAGTGAATGCGATCCTTGTCATAGCTCATCATCTCTCATATTACATCATGATTTTCCACAAATAAATCATTGAGTTTGAAACAAATAGTGTGTTTTAAATGATTGAGATTATTTCCTCCAAGGCAATGCTGCACAACTCCGGTTTTAACATTATGATGAAACTGTTCTTTATAATTGGTATGACTTTTCCAGACTTTTCCAGGGAGGGAAGAAATACAGTGAAACAAGGAGGGAGAGAGGAACAAAAAGATAAGTGTTAAAAAAATGTAAAGTTAGAAAATGAAAATAAAGTTGTCCTCCAATGAGGGGGGATGATAGTAGTATAAAATAGATGTATACTTAGTCTGGTACAGTGTAAACATTATATAGGACCTCCTATAACACATTGGCACTTTATTTTAGTACGTCAATGTTGTAAATGTTTAATGGCCAAACTGCTGGCAGTTAAGAAATAAGACATATCGTTGGTTACTCACCTCAAATCTGACTTTCTGGACCTGGGCCCGGATTCACCAAGTATTCTTAAGAAGACATTTCTTACTGAAGTGCCATTTTTTCCTTAACTTTATACTTAAAAAGAAACGTACTAAAAAAGTTGCTATTCCTCAAAGTTCTTGAAAATGTCCTTAAGTTTCTTCCTATGTTTCTTCCTAAGAAAATAGTTAAGAAGAACTTTGATTCTTGAAAATAAAGTTATTGGATTTCTTCTTGGAAATATTCTTAATTCCAAAATTGCTAAACCCTTGTCTTAAACTCATGGAAGTGAGAAAATAAGCTAATGAAAGCAATTGAACATGTTTAATTCACTCACAAACGTTGTCTGAAAGTTTCAGTGTTGATTGTCTTACATTCAATAACATTTTAGACCAGTAATCTCAGTAAGAAATATGCTTACATGATTCACCTTGCTAGCTAGATGGCTAGCTAGCTCGGTTGCCTAGTGACAATGATCTTAAGAGGATAGTTAAGAAGTTCGTAAGAAGATCATGAATTCTTAAGTAATGTTAGGAATTGCACTTACGAACTATCTTATGAATTTATAATTTTTTTCTTAAGAAGCTTTTTAAGTTTTGCGTAATAAGTGGATTCTCAGAAGCAGTCCCACTCACACCTGGCGCCTTACCTAAAAGGTGCCGCCGGAGAAATGGAAGGAGAGCCAGCGTTCTAGTAAGGAAGAGAAGGGCTAATCGCCCACCCCTTCCTGGTATTTTACTAGCTAATGTTCAGTCTCTGGACTATAAGAGTGGACGAGCGCAGGGCGAGGATTTCCTACCAACGGGACAAGAGAGACTGTATCGTACTATGCTTCACCTTTTACAGGACGTTAAACAAACAGTAAACTGCACATCCAGAGGCCGCATTCATTGTGGCTGGTGACTTTAACAATGTAAATCTAAGGAGTGCTACCGAAACACATCTCCTGTCTCACTCAGGGAAATCAACCATTAGATCACTGTTCCTCTTTCCGGGATGTAAACAAAGCCCTCCTCGTCCCCCCTTCGGCTAATCAGATCATACCTCTATCCTGCTTCTACTAGCCTAAAGGCAGAAATTAAAGCAGGAAATGGCCGTGGTAAGATCTGTTCAATGCTGGTCTGACCAATCAAAATCTATGCTACAATACTTTTTTGATGACGTAGACTGGGAAATGTTCCGGGTCACCTCCGACAATAACATAGATGAGTACACAGACTCAGTCACATGGTTCATCAGGAAATGAAAGAGGACATTGTTCCAACAGTAAATATTCACACATATCCAAAAAACAGAAACCATGGGTAAATGGCATCAAAAGGCGCAAAACTGGGGCCTCCTGAGTGATGCAGCGGTCTAAGGCACTATATCGCAGTGTTGGGTTTGATCCCAGGCTGTGTCACAACCGGCCGTGACTGGGAGTCCCATAGGGTGGCGCACAATTGGCCCAGCGTCGTCCGTGTTATGGGAGGGTTTGGCCGGGGGGGGCTTTACTTGGCTCATCGCGCACTAGCAACTCCTTGTGGTGGGCCGGGTGCCTGCAGGCTGACTTCAGTCGTCAGCTAAACGTTTCGTCCGACACATTGGTGCAGCTGGTTTCCGGGTTAAGCGAGTGGGTCATGTTTCGTAGGACACATGACTTGACCTTTGCCTCTCCCGAGCCCGTTGGGGAGTTGCAGCGATGAGACAAGATCGTAATCACGAAATTTGGGAGAAAAAGGGGGTAAAAATTACAATAAATAAATTGTACCCAATCTCTATAATGTAGTACAGATCAATGCAGGACTGGGGCAAGTCGTTGCAATGACCATACATGCGCAGTCCTTCTTTCTGAGGGAGCTTTCCTGGTATTATGCAGGTTGACGTTTATTGTCATGAACCTTGCCCTGGAGGCAGAACTAAGCGATTTCATCTAGATAGGCCAGCTGCAAAGTAAAAATTGGCTTTATTGTACAAATTCATTAAAAAAAAAGTGTTTTTCGGTCTTAATTTAAGGTTAGGGTTAGGAATTAGTGTTAGCAGTGTGGTTAAGGTTAGGTTTAAAATCAGATTGTATTACTTTGTGGCTGTGCCAGCTAGTGACCACTGCAGAGCTGCCTCCAGAACAAGATTCATGACGAAAAATGCTAACCTGCTTGTATTACCTGGGTGGTTCCCTGAAGCACATCACTATAGGACCAGCAGGGATCTGGGACATCAGCACAACAGACAGTCTTCAAGTGGGTGGCCGGTAACTGGGTGGCCGGTAACTGGGTGGCCGATAACTGGGTAAGAACTGCTGGTAAGTGAAGAGCGTTGCTTTATAACTGTAGTTATTTTCAGAGGGTAGATATTGTATAGGTGTGATTTTTTTTAGCTTTCCTGATACCACTTTTTCCTAGTTGTTCTTGAACAAAATTATTTAATGTTTTATAATCATAACATTATGTCAGTGTGAGTAATTTGGCAGATACTCTCTTTCTTTGTGTTCCTCAGGCAGTCTGATGCGGGGGGTAACCCATTTATCTTGGGGGTCAACAAGACAGCTGTACCATTCTGTCTGAGAAGTGATGCCACGCTTGGTTTCATGAGTACTAGCTCGTCTACGCCATGGACACAAATGCTAGGAGGTGCGAAGTACTACAGTTGCGAACCCCTTGGGTGCTGGGCAGTCAACAACCAAGAACAAATCTTCTTCATGAATGTAAGGTATGGGAGAAAGTCCTTAACACTGGATTAGATGGGCTAGATACACTTTCAATTATATTAAAATGGTTTATTATAACAGTTAAGGTTAGAGTAGAAATTGTGCTACTCACCAATGACTTTGCTTCTAAAACCCTGATTGACTGCATGTGTTTGTTTCCAGGGTGTGAACTCAAAACCCTGCCAAAACAAAGCTAGTTTCCGGCAGCCTTTCCTTGATTGAGGTGACAACTGATGGCAGTGTCTTCAGAGTCAACAAGGCAGGCCAGATCCTTAACAGGTAAGGTTGCTACGTAAAGCTACAATCTGGGAGTTGTGTTCAGCCCAACGGGAGCCTTGAAGTTACAATCTGTGATTTGGGAAGCTGTTTAATGGTAATTTAAATTATTGATAATTACCCATTGATTATCGAAGATTATAAACTGGGTGGTTACAGCCCTGAATGCTGATTGGCTGAAAGCTGTAGTATATCAGACTATATACCACGGGTATGACAACACCTGACTTTTTACTGTTCTAATTACGCTGGTAACCAGTTTATACTAAAAATAAGGTATATGGCCAATATACCACGGCTAAGACCTGAATCCAGGCACTCCGAATTGCGTTGTGCATAAGAACAGCCCTTAGCCGTGGTATATTGGCCATATACCACACCCCCTTGGGCCTTATTGCTTAAATATAACTTAAAGATGTCGCATGAGCTTGGTTCAACTGTCTTTCTTTATCCTAACCCAAAATACAAGGTTTTATTAATACAATGTTTACAGAATGTAAACAAAAAATATATATTGGATGACATAGACTGTCAATCCTTGCATCTAAAGAGCTGTCTATACATTTGAGAGGGGTTACAATTCCCTAACCCTCCCTCAGCAGTATACAAAAACAAGTGCTGTTTGGTTGTTTTTTTGAATCCCAGAATGTAGCTTTGAGATGGAGCTGGAGAAATGGAACCACCCTCAAATTCATAGACAATGCTTTGGTTGCAAGGACTGACAGTCCCTGAGATGAGCATGATAGCTTTAACCAGGTTTTGAAACTATACATTGTTTGTTTACAAAGGCACTGTTTACAAACAATGCCGTAAAACAGTCTTATATTTTGATTTATGATAGGGAAGACAGATGTACTAAACCTGTACTATACGTTTATTCTTCAATGGGTATATATCATTCATTTGAATGATATAAAAAACGGCTGCAAATATCCCAGACTGCTCCTTTAACTATGTGGTCAAACTGAGGGGGTCACAGATTGTAACAAACCCAACCAACGTATTAACACGATGAGAAAATCAGATGAGACAACCAGTATGACGCATGAATAAGGAAGGTCAATAACTACTTTTGACAGGTAATTTGATCTCCAATTAAAAAGTTTTCCCTCTCTTTTACCTAGACGTGGCGTCACAGCCAATCAACTGGAGGGAACTAGCTGGACCATCATCTCAATGTGAATGGCCATTAGGCATGTGAGCTACGACCTGGGTGTCCTTTGGGTTGTCTCCCAAAGGATGGTGGCCTTGCCATGCGGTGCACACATTAGCCTCTCCTACTGCAGCTGAAGTCTGAGCCATAGATGAGAATGACAAACTCAATTGCTGCAATGTTAATCCTAGATTCTAATCTTTAAAAATATTTAACCTTGTTAAGTATAGCAAGTCTCATTTAGTCACCTAAGTCACTGGTGGTGGGGTAAACTGTAAGACTAAAAGCTTAGCTGTTACAAAGACCACAATGTTTTACATTAATTCTTAATAAGACTGTTTTATTATGAAATGTTGACATTGATGTACCATTTCTTTTTTTAATACTTTTCAGTACTTTATCTACACCAATAAAGCACTCTACTGAACAAACATAATGTCTTCTTTCACACAACTGACTGCAGCCCACTTAAAGCCACAATCCTGAATTTGTTTTTTCAGCTGAACAATAGCCCCACCACTTGGTTTGAAAAAATTAAATTGAGGGATGGAGCTAGATACGTGTAACCACTCCCAAATTCATAGATGGAGATATGGATGCAAGGACTGATTGTCCATGAGCTCAACATGATCATTTTAAACATATTTTGAAACTATACACTGTTTGTTTACAAATACATTAATTAAACCATGGTGGGGTAAAACTGTTGTTCTATGCTGAGATATTTATAAGATAGAATCAAGGGTTATACATAATAAATTGAAATATCTATTTAACAGCAGAAAATATTGCAGATTGACCTTTTAAAATACCTTTGCTGGTTAACTGTCTGATAAGCCGCCAATTGTCGTAAGAAAGCACAACCAAATGTATTTGCTCACATGCAAATATAATCTATTCTCTATGGCGTTCTGTGACGTCTTCATTATGGATTCTTATCAGACGTATGTAATCAATTGCAAGAACAGCTTTGTCAAGGCAACGGTTGGTCTGGGAGGTTTTAGAAGTAGGTGGGAGGGACAGACAGACAGAAAACACAACTCTGACCTGCAGAGGTTTTCCCAGCCAGATCCAGGAGACATGCAGTGCCAGACCTGTCCCTGCTCTCGTCACAGCCCACGTATTGTTTATGAACTTCCAGCGATTAAATCCAGATGCCTCACAATGAAACCAATTTATTGAATCGTGAAACAGCCATTTATGTCATCCACATTCATGTGATCAATGACTATGCAAGTACATGAAATAAATATGGTTCAGGCATAAAGACAGGCCAAAGGAAACCCCTGCAAGCAAAGACTTGTGGGTGTGTGAGGTAAAGAGTGTCACTACATGACATTAGCATTTTGACCAGTCTGCTAAAAACACATCATACTATATACTATATCTGTAAATGTTATGATTTTGACATGGACAATATTTTTCTTGATATAAAACTGTTTGAACTAATATGAGATGTGTGGTCAGTCTTGGGAATGGATCTGACCTCTGAACGATATGCCTGGGTGGACATATTGCAGCTAGGGGGTATACATGAATTTATTTTATTTGTCCATTTGAGATTATGGTTTGTGAGGTGGAAATAATACTCTGAACTGGGCCTAAGATCCTTTGTAATTGTGCAAAGCTGCAACAATTGGATAGTACACTGCTGTTCATACCTGGCGTTGAACATTTGGAATCTGGATGACTGAAGCATAGTCCTTCGAGGACAACAACAGGTACTGCACTGTATGGTACTTCAATAGAATGTGCTTGTTGCCATGACAAGAACAGAAAAGTAAATATGAGTGACTCAAAATAATATTAGTGCCAATGTCTGCTTGACCTCCTTGGTGAACACACACACACATGCACGGATGCACACACACACACACACACACACACACACACACACACACACACACACACACACACACACACACACACACCATCCTTGGAGCCATCTTAGAACATGAGCACAGTCCATTGATGGAACCAACTGGAGATATAACCACAGTGAGCGTCAGACACAGTGGCTGCTGCCTGGAGGAGTGTGTGACTGACTATGTGAAGATTAATGAATGTCTCAGGCAAGCAGGGAACCTAGCGGACCAGGGAGGGGTGCTGAGCTGACGTTTGCAGTTTGCATAAGCAGGGTCTAACTTTGTCTTAGTGCTAAGCACATGCACAGAGAATTCCCTTGATGAGACCCAGAAGTGCAGCACATGCTTGAAAATGGTGTGCTGTCTGGTTGGAGGAAGACAGGGTCTGGGTGAATGATAACAACGTGATGAACAGAATATAAATAAAAAACATTTAACACAAAAGTCATGTTCACATTGGCAGTTTAAAGTGACTAAAAATAATAATAATTGCATATCCGATTTCAAATCTGTTCTTTTTCCTGCAGTCCGAACAGCCAAAAAGCACATGGAATCTGATATTTCAAGCCACATTTCAAACCACCTTCATAGGTGGTTTGAAGTAAGATATAAATCTGATTCCTGGCCATGCGACATGTGTCTGAACGGTCAAATCTGATGTATTTGCCCTCGTGGTTTTTAGACTTATTTGGCATATCTTGTTGCTTGCTAGCTACTCTGTTGACAGTTTGACAAGAACATGTGGTAGCCAACTAGCTTGTTAATTGTTTACAAACCAATTAGAGAATGTGCTAGAAAGCTAAACAGCTACCTAGCTAGCTACTTGACTGCTGTGGCTAGCCAAAAACGACTCGTTTTGACAGGTGGATCATCTTATCCTTTGAGGCTTTAAAAGTGTTTTCACACTATGATTTTGAACAACTGGGTGACATCCATGGCAGGCATTGTTGTCACCTTAGCTGCTACATAACTTCTGAGTGATAGACAGCACAAACACCACCACCAATCTGCGCACACACCCGTCATTACTATGACAACTATGCGTAGCAATGGCAGCAAATGACTGCTGTCTGAACACACATCCCAATTTGGTCCAAAACGGATTTGAAAAACAAAACTGATTTGAGCATGAAGACCTGCAGTGTGAAGAAGGCTTAAGAGGTCCGAAGCACTTCACAAATTTGTTTTGTGATTTTTTGTTTGCTATTTATTCAGACAGTGTAGCGTTGCAGCTCATTAGTTTGACCTTCAGCCTGGTCTGTCCCACAGCCATAAGGCATGAATGTCCCTTAAATGATTCTACACGCTGAACGGCTCACAGCTGGAGCAACAACCTAACGCACAGTGCTCAATTACCAGTTGAACACAGTTTGAGCCAATCTTCCATAATCTCTCACAAAATGATTTTTGTCATATATACATTTCAGGGAATCTCTTGAGAGAGGCTAAACATAACCATCCCAGATGCCTCAGCCCAATTGTGGTCAGAAAACACCTGGCTGTTTGTATACGAGGCCTCCCTATTTACCCTTTACGTCTGGCAATGGCTGACTTCCTCTAGGTAAATACCACCAATTTGAAACATCATTAGCCTGTGAAATAAATATACAGTAGGGTGTTGGATCACACATCAGCTTGACTGTTGACGATACATTTCAATGTTTGAAGGCTGTTAAGACCCTTCCCTGTGAAAGATGGATAGGTGGTGAAACAGCTCAGGAAACTGTATTCCGGCTGTGAGTTACTGTCTCTCAGCGATGGTCTTATTACATAGTTGCCAATCTGGACCCTGACCAGAATACAGAGACAGACTAACAAACAGGCTGTCTTGTCTGTGTTACCTTGAGTGAATGTCACAGTGGAGTGATGACGCCGGGGAGCAGACATAATGAGCTCGCCAGTTAGTGCCACGTGGGCGTAATTGGAGTCAATGGGCTGATTGGTAATGCAGACATATTGAAAAGTGATCCGCATCCCACTTGCCTCGTCCCTAATTGAGTATTCATGATATGGCGACTGGAGTTGTTGTCTGAGCTTGGTCAACCATAGCCGGTGAAGACAGTGATAACCTTGGGGAAGGACTTCTGGTTGGCAGGAGATAATGGGTGAGACGCGAGAGTAGGGCTTGATGACTTTGAACAAGGGTGGCTTGCTTGTGTTCTCTGAGAGCAACAGGAGTTTCACATCCGTAGCTTTTGATCTGGAATGAGTATGTTGTAAATCATAGGCTAAATTACCCACATATTCATGGGGTCTTAGGTACAGCAGAGGAGGCTGGTAAGGTGAGGATGGCTCATAATAATGGATGGAATTGAGTGTTTGGAATAGAATGGTATCAAACTCTTGGACAACTAGGTATTTGATGTGTTTAATATCATAACATTTATTCCGTTCCAGCCATTACTATGAGCCCGTCCTCCCCATTTAAAGTGCCACCAGCCAGCACTTACTGTAGGTACTGTATAACATTTCTACAAGTTTGCTGCTAAAGTATTTTCTTAGCAAATAGATGGGTGAGGAATTGTACTTATACCAAGTTGTATGTCCATGATTTCAAAGCCAGTTTGTCAGTATAAGATTAATTGTATTAGAGATAAAAGTAATCTGTCTGTTTTTAAGATCAACATCCAAAACATGATATGTCATTTTTCATTGTTTTCTTTTAAATGTTTCTAATTTCTAGATTATACAAGTGAACACATTCAAATTCAAACATTGAACAGGGGCAAAGGAGAAATTTGAATATTTCTGCATATCATCCATTGGTTGACAAAAAAAAACATGGATTTTAGTGAATGGATGCTGCAAGAGTCCTCTTGGATGCCACAAGAGTAATTGGATGCTGTAAGAGTCACTGGTGTTCATGACATGGACAGTTGCCAGGGAATCAGTCGTGTTTCCATGTCTGTGATTTATTCAAATCACACATACACTAGGTGGGAACTCACTCATTATCAGAGCAGGCTGTAGACACCTATAATCACCCCTGAATTACACTCATCAGTGATGTTTGTAGAGGCAAAAATAATTAGCAGCCATATTTTGTCATCCTATCTGTGTATTTGTCATGACAATGGGATTTGGAGCACAGTGCAATGGGGACAGTGTGTTTGTATAGATCAATTCTAATTAGGGTAGCACATTTTGTCTCCATGGGC